CCTTGGCTGGGGTTCAATTCAACATGCTGGTGCTCCACGCGGGCTCTAAATAGGGTCGTCGACCGGAATTTAACTAACAGGGACGCCACTGGTGCCAGGGGGGTGGATGCCCAGATCATCAGATTTGATTTGTTTTGGCTGTCTCCGCATAAGTAATGAACTTTTGTTCTCTCTATTCTTCAATCTATTGGAATCACATCGCCACATGCCAATTCTTTGCGCTTCAGAAGCACCTGGACGGACACTTTGATGCGCGTCTAACTGATTAAGCTGCAGGTTTACTGTTGGGACATGGCATATAATACATGAATAAACAACAACACAAAAATTTAAATGGTAAGAATGTATTGCCTTCTTATCATCAGGGTTGATCGGCAATTGCAACCTTGCTGATTTGTTAATAATAAAAGCATGATTTGATCATTTAATTCGAATGAATGGTCTTTGGATAGTCTTTTTATAATCTTTCTTTCCAATTAGAAATATCTCTTCAGCATTCTGAACTACCATAACATTTCTGCTTATAAACCCATTTCTATATCCACTAAAGGTGATTAGTGTGTATTCAAATAGGAAGCACCCTGTTCTGCTATTATACTTTTATTAGACAAAGTAATTTTATTTTAATTACTTATTGAATCGATTTCTTTAAAGTACTTTCTAAGGAACCCAACAATCCAATTATTGTGTGTATAATGGGCTTGTAATTATTGCAATTAGGAATGTTGCTGCTGGTTCAGAACGAATCACTTAACTACCGAACAGTATAGGCTAATGTACAGGGCTATTCAACATTGGCATTTTTTTTCATGCAGCATTGAAGATTGAGTTTTTCAATATCAATCAAATTGATCGATGTGTATAGTCTTTTTTCACATTTCTGCAGTAGGACTAATTTACGCCCCTACTATGCTCTCAGCTCGGTCAACGACTTATCATAACGTCCACATGCTATTGAATAATTCGTTTAGGAAGTATACAGGGTGGCCAGTCACAACTTGTAACAAGCGAATATGCTTTATTAACCCAAAATATTGTCAGCGATGCGACGTTGTCGCTTTTATGTTTACTTGTACCTGCAACTTCGATATTTTAAATGAGAAACTCTGTGGATTATTGCACGTTCACATAATGATTCTTATACCAATTTAAAGCTGCTTCTGGAGTACTAAATAATATTCATATTTTTTATCCATCAATACATGGCTTCAAGACATCTCGAATTACAAGATTTCGATATGAAAATTCTAAGTTTTGGGCCTGGGTTTGGAAAACTCTGTCTAAACCTCACATGCAGCAATTTGTTTTAAATTAAACAGGGTGCCTTCAAATTAGTGATGTTTCAGCCAAAGCTTCTTTTGTTGTTCGAAAGTTGTCGACTATTTTGACGTATTTGTTGAAGATAGACATGAAATGTCATAATTGTGGGACATTTTCTAATGCTTCAAATCAGTTGTCAGCTTGACAGTCAAGAAAGTTTCAAAAATAGGTTTGTAAGCTTCTTAATACAGTGATTTAGTAATTAGTAAAATGGAGAGAAAAAACAATTCAAAAGAAGTTATTTTTCGTCACTGCCAAGCTGACGACTGGTTTGTAGCATTGAATGTAGCATAGCAACCACGGCATTCATAGATTTTTTCAACAAACACGTCAAAATATTGGAATTTTTGCAAAAAATTTGACGCTTTAAGTACCTATAGGAACATAATACATACATGGTGATTCAAAATTGGCGCCTAATGGCTATAGTGGTTCACCACAACACAAACAGATAATTGGATAGGTAGCCTTTGTCAATAATAACACGCATTTGTCAAACTGTGACTTACTGTGAAGCTCCTTTCACAAAATGTACACCAACAGCGAACTTGCGACTGGTTATGGGGAAATGCCACAGTAACATAGTAGAAGCTGTAAAAACTTACACCACCAAAGGGGTAGAGACAGTGGACGATTGCCCCAAAAATGTTGACAAGGTTATCCTAACCTCAAAGTATTTCATTGCCACCTTTACACTCTGTGTTTTGAGTTTACCCATGGTTACTAAAGTGTGTAATAATTAAGACGCAACAGATATTTGCGTAAAGTAAATTAGGCAGTTTACCTTGAAAAACATTGTTACCATCCTTCTGATCTAGTTTTTTGCAAATATCTCAGTTATCAATAACAATTATGTCTTTTTACTATTTTTCCTATGCTTCCAAAACATCCCCAGGCAACACCTGCAGAGGAATAACGTCAATCTTGAATCACCTTGTATACCATTTCATAGAGAATGCCGTGGTTTTCCCGCACACGAACTAAATGTACAGGATATCCCATGTGAAAAAATTGAATTGGAGTTGTATTTATATATTTGTAGTCAAACATGAGTCATTTGAACACGCAAAAAATAAATATTATTTAATATTTCAGAAACCACTTTAGATAGGTATATGAATCGTTAAGCAAAAATAATCAGATCTATAAGGCTATCTAAATATTAAATCATATACAGGGTGTTTCGTTGTAAATACTTTCTCATAAAAGTGCTAACACAAAATTTTTATACAAAAATATATATACATATATTTTTATATATACACTTTAAGTATCCTTTCGTAAGGGTAATAATTAGCATGTTTTGTAGTTTGACCGAACTAGGACTTAATATTGGCATATGGTTAGGAGATATTGACCTTTCGTCCAGGTGCAAAAGTCGCACAGTTGCCTAATTTATTTTTTTACAAAAACCTCAGCTTTGTTTGCCCTACTAGCCAACATTTTTATTCGAGTTAGTTGTATTAGACATGTATATCTGAAAGCGTACAGATTCAAAACATCGGCAGCTAATTAATTGCTATGTTTATTTTACAAGATCAACAACAAATAATCTACAGCTTGAATATTTTGCAAATAAAACTCGCTTTAACTACTCAACAACAAAATGTTTGCTTCTAAAGTGGTGTTATTGCAAGTTCCGAACATTGAGTCTAATTTTAATATAAAAACACACTTTTCTTTGAATCAATTTGAAAAAATTACTATGCGATAAGTTTTTACAATATAAGTTAACGAAATATGCTGGAAACAACCTAGTAAGGATGTAGTCAGTTTGCACGATTAAATCGCAACTTGACAGAACATTTGAATATAATCCCGTAAAAAAATAAAAACAGAAAAGAAAAATGAAAAAAAAACTTTTCAAATGGACGCTAATTAGGATTACATAGACAGTTTCGTCCCCTGGGAGTTTTTATTTGCAAAAAAGCGAGTTAAGAAAGAAAACAAGAAACGCAGGTTCAAAATAACGAATCAAAAAAGCACCAAACTTGTCTCTAGTACAGATTTAAATACAAAGAACTATTAAAAAAAAAATTACATTCAAATAATTGGAAAATCGATAGGTGAAAGAAGAACAAACTTTCAAATCAATCACATCCGTATAAAACAAAAAAATTGTTGGGTGCGTGCGGAAAAATAATCGTAGCGGTCAGCGAGATGACTACTGAAAGTTCGAGACAATTCGAGGGATTTGGAATCGGGAATGTTCCGTAATTTAATCAGCGTATTCGAGTGTTGCCAAACGGCTATATGTATAAAGTATAAAGCAAGCGCGACGCCCCTACTTAGTCAGTAAACGAGCGCTATTAAATCAAGGTTAAGCAGTAATGCGATTATTGTTGGTAATAATTCGGGTTGAGACTATTAAATTGGGCTTACAAACAGAGCGAGTTACTGGAATCTTTCGGACCTCAAAAACGCAACAATACACTTGACACTTCATTTATTTATACAAAAATTAATGAAGTGTGCACCACAAACAACATTACTAACTAATTTTATTGAATAAGACTTATTTTCTGGAAGTTTTGCATCAGTATTTTGTCTCCATCACGAGACTGCGATCTTCCACATCACGTGCCATGACAATAAATGTCCCAATTCATGCACTCATTACATGAGTTTTGTCCCCGTTTATCCGTAACTTATCACAAAATTATTGGCAAAATATGCCTTGTTTTTTGTGATATAGACTTGCCAATTGACCTGCTTTTAAGTTTAAGCACATGTTATCACTTCCCAGATTGCCCAGTTGACCTTTGAAATGTTAAACGACAAGACCCGGAGCGTTTGCTTATTTGATCGCTATTATTTACATACAATGTGAAAATTAAACATCTAACACTCAGATTGACTAGGGCGTACGGCATTTTGCAGATTGCCTAAAATACCGTAGTCAATGTGCAGATTGCCCAAAGTAGTAGCGATTCTGCAAAATGCCTGGCGAGTATATACAGGATGCAGCAATATTAAGAATTTTCATATGAAACGCTTTTTTTGTTATTAGTTTGAGCTTGAGTGTCAGCTTTTGTTATTAGTTTTTAAACCACTCAAAACCAGTTATTCATCAACGTTTTTAAAATGGCAATAATGACTTGAACGCAAAAAGTAACTTTTGGAACAGCGGTGGATTTTTTGAGAACTTATCTACCTGAATGCAGGGATTGCCGCCCTTCTTTTTGATCAAAAATTGATAGAATCCGAATGATCTCGACTAGGAATTGGGTGTGAGTAATCGAAATATGTAATATAATCATTGAACTACCTAAACACAGTGTGAATTAAATAATTTTATTTCTAAGTGAACTGACTACATCTCTCTCCTAGTTGATTATTGGAATACCAACTGAATATTCTTAACTCTAAAAGTTACATATAGTCTGTACGCTATAACTTTGGTCGCACGTCATCAATGTCGGTCCAGCGTTGTTGCCATAAAATAGGTACATGCAACAAGCAAACGTTATGTGTTAATAAAAAATTTCCGCTAAATCCACGATCGATTCGGCAGCATTGTAATTTTCACCAACCTAATAATTGAAAAAATGAACATAAATATTCAACATCGCTTTAAATCAGGTAGTATTCTAAACTTTTTTGGTATTTTATGATTGCTTGAGGTACTTTAATGCCCAAACACAAACAAAAAAGTTTCGACTTCACACAAATTTCATGCATAATTGTTTTTATGTTGGTAGTCAAATTTCGTCACTGATGACGTGCGACCAAAGTTATAGCGTACAGACTAGATTCTTCATCCCACTGTATTTCTGGGATAATCCAGCGCAACTTCGAACAAACACGAGTCGTTTCTATGGACTATTATTAAATATCCGACGTTATCTTATCGGTAAAATGGAATAATTGCCTCGAGCCTGGCCACATGACAATTTCGGTGAGCTTCTCTCACCATGTGTAAAGTCGTCAATATCCAAGCACACCCGTGTGGTTGCGTAGGTAAACTTCCACAAACTCTAAATATAAATCCCATTAAAGGCAAATTATTTTTATTTTCAGATAATCAAACAACTCTCACAATATTGGCGATATTTTTAGTAAATCTCACTTCAATTTGCATGTGCAAAAAAATAGATTACTACATTCACTTCACATCAGAAGGCGCCAACGCGTTAAGCGTATGGCCACAAGCATTGTTTTTTTTGGCTGCTTGCATGCTTGCCATTTAAGTGTTTTTTATCATTCTACTTTACGGATGTGTACTTACTTGTTATTGCAAAACATTGATGAACGTTTATGCAGTTTTCTTGTGGGAGTCTGTTCATAAATCAGCAACATGACAAAAATATAAAATAATTGTCTTGCACCAAGCACTGAGAATTTTGTTCCCGCAACTGAACTGCTGAAGGAATTCCAGTAATTATACGAAACATTTGCAGTTTTCTACACACAGGAACAAGCACTAACGCAACCATGGAAAAGGATTCTGAGGTTTCGAATATATTTTTGTTAACTCAAGTTTTAAATATACAAGTTAGGTACAACTGGACCTTTCCAGCCCCTTGGTTAGATTCCTTTTTATCTAAAACCGTTCCTTTAACACAAAAACAGCACTAGATCTAAACATTAAGGCTTGTAAACAGCATAAACTGACTCAAACGCTGTGAAGTGACCAATTGACCAATGACAATTGAGATGTGCATTCCATTTAAAAAAGCGTTATCATCTTTTCGCACGTGTACCTACCATTCTTTGAATTACTCTACTAAACTTTTCATTACCTTTTATCCAAACAACAATTTACTTCGAATAATATCAAACTACTGATAACATTCCAACAGCATTTATAGCAGAAATAATAATAGGATGGTTATAAAACAAGGCCACGTCGTCAATACATTGATAAAACTATTTAGTGAAATGGGGCGCAAAAAGGTTGAAGTTGAATTGAAAAGCCTTGCCAGAAAAAAATTATAGCCAGCCAGCCAATCAGCTGTTAAATGCGTGTAATCAGTCTCGACCTGTATGTTCGCATTGAAGGTCACTATTTAGAATAAACGCCACACTTAATTCAGTCAGGCGCAGATAACAGAAAACAAATCCATTTTACTTACTTTAATGGGTCGAAATTTACCGAAATACCTATGCATAAAATATACGCACTCATTTCAAAAACAGTGAATAAAACTATGGTTTTTTCAATTATACTAATATTGTTCATTCAGTATGAGGTTTCTTTTTTAAATGAGAACGCTGCTAATTTGTTTTTAATGAATTTTGTTACTTGGAGAGTGAGAAATATTTCAACGTGGTTGTTTATACATACAAAATGGTTAAAAATATACGAATTGAGGGGATGAGGCGTTTTTGTGTGGCAATATTTTCAAATGATGCGAAATGCAGACAAGTTTTTTGAACCTTCAAATAAAATAATCTAAAACAAACATTAAACTCTTTTGCTAAAAAACAATATGAAACACGATCAACTATATTAAATGCAAATAAAACGTTTTTTTAAATGTGAGCTTTCAATTCATTCTCACAAACAACTCTGTTTCTGCGTAATGTACTTCCTCCTCCTCTGCTGTATAAAAAATTATTTATTTGCATCTCAAGCCCCAATTTTTGACTGGCGCTTTTCGTTTTATGACTGAAAAAAAGTGATATTTGCAAAAACTGCAATTGCATCAAAATGATTCTTATAACCATAAGAAAACAGAAATTTGGAGAATGGATGAAAAATCACTTGGGGCGCTCACACGGCATTGTCGGAATTATTCGTTTTTATTATAAATTCGGTAAACATTTACTACGAAGTAATTAATGAACATAATATTTACTTTATATGGAGTAATCCCAAATAAATTTAAAGGTTCCGAAATTGAAAATGGTATGGTATGGTGAGACTACAACAAGTCTCTTTAGAAAAGCGGTCGACAAAGTACAGATTGCGCTAATGATTGCCAACGTTCTAAGAGGACAGGGCACTTAGAGAAGAAGAGAATTGAAAACATTTCAAAACGAACAAAATTGAGCAGTTTCTCTAAAATTTACACGCAACTGGTATTCCGTATCTCTTCAAAGATTCGTGTAATTCGACAAGTTTTCAAAGTACTAATAAATAAAAGTACACAAGATTCTTAAAAATCATGTATAAACAGGCTAATAAAATATGTAAAACGTTACTAGAACTTTTCAAAAGTGCTAACTGTTGTAGATTTTCAAGATCCAAGTTTTTCATATTTTTGCTTTAATTTATTTATTTATTTAATTAATTATTAATTAATTCACTATTTAATTTCATACTTTCATTTTTGTTAAAAGCTATTACAGAAAAAATGGTTTTAGTTGTAGAACTATATTAACGACAATTTCTTGTTTTATTTTCATTTTTATAAAACTTTTTGGTGACAAAACTACTCACAACCTGCTCGCTTATTTTGTTGCTTTTCCAATAAGAATCAATTTAACTTTGACGATTAGCAGATAATATTACTAACTACCTAAAACTATAACAAAATCAACTAAACCAGTAAAGTTTCCTGTTATTTTATATAAAAGCATATTAAGGCGGTAATTCTGCAGAAAACGTAAAACAGCTTTTTCCTTTCCATCTGAATGTAGAATTGAACATTTGTTCGTTTTTTTTCGGATTGTATCCAATGTTAAAAATTACGTTAATTTTAGCGGACGATACACGGGTTGCTGTTTTTTAAATAGAATTTCACTGTACATTTCAGAAAAACATTTCTACGAGGCCTTTTTTCTCCAAACTGAACGAAATAATTCTTATTTGCCGTGCTCTGCTATATTTTGTAGATAGCATGGAGTATTAAATATTGAGTCAACTTTCTCGACGAATGAAACTCAAAAGAGCCTTTTCTATTTCCAACTGCATGCCAAATTGAAAAATATTTTTTAATTGCCGAAAAGACACCTGACATGCTCGGTTTTTTTCTTCGGAAAGTATCGAATATTAAATATTGAGTTTTTATTTTCATATTTTATCGAACGTCACAGCGGTTTTCGTTTTTTTTTCTCAATCGAAAACTGTGCATTTTTCTTGCTCGAAACTGAACGCATAATCTTGATTTGCCGTGCCGTGCGTTCTAGAAACTAAAGAAAACTAAAAAAAAAAAAAGTTTTAATATATTCGATCAATTTTCTCGACGAACAAAGCTATTTTATTTTTTTAAATCAGAAACTGAGTATTTCAGCAAAAAAACACAAAAGAGCTTTTTTGTTCCGAATTGAATGTGGAATTGCACAATATTGAATATTTGCCGAAACGACACTGGAATGCCCAGTTTCTTTCTTCGGAAAGAACCAATCGTTAATTTTATCGGATTGTGCAGCGGGTTTCGTTTTTTTAATCAAAATCTGCGCATTTCAGTAAAAAAGAACAGTCACCAAAATTAAGAGTTAAGACACAAAAGTCACAATAGAGCTTTTCGTTCCAAATTAAATGTAAATTTCAAAAATAATTCTGATTTTCCGAAAAGGCAATGGTGTGCTCTGCTTTTTCCTGGGAAGCATCGAATGTTAATATTGCGTTAATTATCTCTAAGAACTCCCCCACAATAACTGCAGACGGAAAAATAACACAACCGAAAAACGACGTAAGGTACCTTGGGATTACAATCGACCACAAACTGAAATTCACT